GTACTTCCCCATAAAAGGTCGACATTTTCAAAGAAAATAGTTTGCTTCTTAGAAATAGAAAGATTCATGATTTTGATCCAACTTTGCAAATCCTTATATTTTCATCATGCCATACTTCTGTCGGCAACGATCAATTTGGCAACGCTGTCTATTATTCCTCATCTATTTGGCCTTTACATTAATATGGTTAACACATGGAATTTTAAATGAGTTCGATAAATTAATACAAATATTGAAATTACGAATGTGCTCAAAACACACATACACACAGACATATATGTCTGTATTTTGAGTGTTTCTTATTGAAGCAGAAATGAGTGGTGGTGAGTATCTGTGTAAAAAATTCAAAGGGTGAGTACAGTCAAGCATAACTATATGGAATTTTGTTTTGGAAATTCAATTATTTAATGGCAATAGCTTTTCTTGACTATCGTGGTCAAACGATGAATCACATTGAAATTATAAAAATATAATGTTTTGTTTTTTTTTTAAATTATTTTCTTTAACTCTATAAAAACTATTATCGATAGTATTAGAATAATAAATATTTATATTTAAATTATAATTAATAATAATATAATAATTTTTAAATATTAATTACCTTTTTGCGGCCATTTGCTATTTATTATAGAATATCAAACAACGCAGTTGCTGCAAATGCTGTGGTTTGTTTACAATGCCTTTAAAACTGTATATATCTTTGTTTAACAGTTTGATAGCATAACATTTACAGTGATTGCAACCACAGTGGGGAATGTTGATAAAATGAAAGCGCCTGAAAGTATGCTTTGATTTGTTGGACAACTGTAATGTGTAGTGGTTCTCATTGAAACTGTTTTTAGCATTGAATGTTTACGTATTTAATTGAATAATTTTCATCCTTTGTGTAGCTTAATTTCAAAATAGGTGCAAGTGGGAATAAATCTAGATCTAAGCCAATTTTTGACCTAATGTCTTCTACAATATACAATAAATACAAGGACCACAAATTAAATATTCCTTGGCTTTGAGAGCAAGTTTCATTCAGGAAACGGATTTTCTTGCTTTCGATTTTATTAAATTTCGTTGAGATAGGTTATAGGTATTTGTTGGTAATAAAGTTGACACTGCTTTTACTTAAAAAAAAACGTCAGCACTTAGACCTTCTAATTATACCTTTAGCCATTTGCTTGCATTTTGTAAGGGATTTCGAAAAAAATGGGCATTTTTAGAAAATAAAAAATGGAATATTGCTCTAATAGGTCCAATACTGACAACGGTGATCGGAGTAACTTTCCAAGCTCTCGTAAAGACCAGAAAACGTCAGTGCATTTTCGTTCATTTGTCATTTCTGATAAGACTGCATTCTGACCACAATCAAACCAACTTGTTGTTATTTTCATCGCCGGCACAGAAGTTCATCGAACCCAAATCAAAAGTTACTCCATAGATTAAACATTTTGTAAACAAGAATGAATTATTCTCTTTATTCATCGGCAATTAAATTATTGCAATTCGTTAAAAAAAACTAGGTCACAAATTTCTCCTTATCGTCCTGCTACTGCTTATCAACCAATCAATTGAGAGAAACTAGATGTTCTGTGGTTGGTGATTACCAACGAGTTTTGTTGTTGTTGTTCTTGTTTATTTCATTTCCAATACCCATGTTTGTATGTAGGTACTTAAAGATAATCAAATCTAAACAATAATATGAAAAGACATTAGCACTTGTCCCAGCGTTGTTGTAGATATTGTATTGAAACGATGAATTAATGTAAAGATACGAGCGGAATATTAACTACGGCCCCCTGTTTTATTCATAATCTCAAATCAAATACGTTGTTATTTGTTGCTCTTGTCAAGAGAGCGCTTGAGAGGGAAATGTCATTTGTTAGGCGCCAGGGCTGGAAGGAATAAATTATAAAAAAATTGTTTTTAATTATTGCTGTGAATTAAGTTATTTCGCTGTTTTTTCTAGTCGTTGATTAATGTTATATTTAGAAACGGAATGTAAATTATGGATTTTCCTATGTTATAAATTAAATAAATGAAATAAATTATAAAATATTGTTTTTAATTATGTGTGAGTTATTAACGTGATATTTAGAAACGGAATATGAATTATAGATTTTCCTATGTTATATTAAACTATTATTCTCAACTCTATGGTCAGTATTTTGGTTTACACTCTGTTCGAGAACCTTGAAGAATCTACTATTTCGTATTATCGTGGAAAAAATATTTACATTCTTGTTTCTCTGGAACAGGTTATCAATTGCCTATAATATTCTGTTGTTTCAGTATTCGTTTTTTTTTGGTAAGTGAAAGTCTTGATAATGGCGCTGTGGTTTTCTTCAAGAGCTAGTTCTACCTTTATACCAACATTCTCTACTTCCCATCTCTGTAATATTAACTGCATTGTTGACAATTGTTTTCTCTCTCTCTCTCTTTAAGAGGAGAGGAAAAAATGCAAAAATAGGGAGCCCGCATTGACTTGTCGTGAAAGTAAGGGGGATTAGCGGTAATAAAATGGGAAATTATCGTTATTTTAGAGATATATAAAAATGTTAGCGAAATTGTACTAAAAAGTTTGTTTTAATACGAGTTAACAAATTCACTTAAATTGTCTGAAATTACACGCAAGGAGTTCTTTCTTCCCCTAAAGAAAATTGTCTTTAACGGTACGTGCCGATATTTTATATTATTTTAGCCACATTTTAGAATGAAATTTTCTGAAAATCCTCACAAGGAGTTCCTTCTGAGTACTTTACCCTTTACTTTATTTGGCATTTTGATGATTTTAGCCACATGTTTCCATGAAATTATCTAAAAATCCATACTAGAAATTCATTGTAAGCACTTTTCCCCCTGGAAGAGAAATGTCTATATAGGTTCACGATATCGCATAGCCCACATACTGTACCTCCCACAAACTGTACCTCCCTATACAGGATGAGATGAAAAAACTACAACCAACTTCAGAGTGCTGGCATTCGTCCGACAATTTGTAAAATTATTCCAGAGACAGCTCATTATATTGTTTACAAGCGTACAAAAGCAATTTAGTGAGAATTTTCCAGAAAAAAAAGTTATTCGTGATTGAATTCAAGCGTGATAGTGTGATTTCTTTATATTTGGCTGGAAAACACATGTGACTATCGTTAGAGCACTCCAGCATTTAAATGTGAATAAATCTTTTGTGTCTCGTTATCGTGATACTGGTAGCGTAGCCCGACGTCAAGGAGGTGGAAGTCGACGAAAGAAAAAAGCAACATCAGCAGAAATGGTTCGAAAAATAAATAAGCGACTTGATCGAAACCCGCGTCACAGTGACCGAAAATGGCTCATGAGCTGAACATATCGCAATATTCCATTCGGCAAATATTGAAAAATGACCTCGGGTAAAGCTGTTGAAATTTCAAAAAGTGCAAGAACTTACACCGCAATGGCAAAAAATATAGACTCAAAAGAGTTAAAGAGTTGCTTCGCTTGGCCGAAATTGGCGAATTTGGTTTTCTCCGAATTTGGATGAGCAAACATTCGTTGTCCAGCAGTTTGTAAAAAAACAAAATGATCGTGTTTACTTGCCAAAAAGTTCAGCTAAAAATGTGCACCTTCGGTTGGCCACCAGAACTCAAGCGGCCCACACCATCACCATAACAGCCGATGGTCGCTCCCGCTCGTATTAATCCACCGTGGCATCAGAATAAATGCCGAATGTTATCGCAAAAATATTCTGGAGGGTGTATTAAAGTCTTAGGCACGCAAACATTTTGGCAGCAGACCTTGGACATTTCAACAGGACTCAGCACGCGTCACCCAAGAATGGTTACAAAATGAGGTTCCTCGCTTCATTTCTAGCCCAAAAGGGCCACCAAAATCTCCGGATTCCAATCCGTTGGATTATTGTGTTTTGAGTATTTTGGAAAGCAAGATTGGCACTAAAAAAATCCAAAGTGTCGATCACGTCAAGCAAGCGCTTCGCCGGGAATGGGCCAAAATACAGCAGAGCAAAATTCGGGTAGCGTGTGACGGTTTCATTGGCCGTTTGAAGGCCATAATTCGTGCCAACTTTCGAACAAATCTAAACTTATGCTTTCATTTAATAAAATTTAAAAAAATATATAAAAATTATGGCTTTTGACTTTGTTGTAGTTTTTTATTTTACTCTGTATTTGGTGTTTTGGCAATTTTAGGTACAATATTCACCGAAATTTTTTGAAATTTCGTATTTGAAGTTCTTAAAAGGTACTATAAGGGCTATTTTCGGTATTTTTAAGATTTTAACACAATTTTTGAAGGATTTTATTATCTTCTGGTTTTTCGTTTGGCTCGAGGTCAGAATTTAAAAAACAGACGAATTTGTTTTTTTATATATTAATTTATTTGTCCGATATTTCGACTATCTTCGATAGTCATCATCAGGGATTTGACTTGAAAAAACAATTAACATTTAGTATAAATAAATAAAACAAAACACTATAACGATAATTACATTGGATTTTAACTCTTCTGTTTAAAATCCAATGTAATTATCGTTATAGTGTTTTGTTTTATTTATTTATACTAAATGTTAATTGTTTTTTCAAGTCAAATCCCTGATGATGACTATCGAAGATAGTCGAAATATCGGACAAATAAATTAATATATAAAAAAACAAATTCGTCTGTTTTTTAAATTCTGACCTCGAGCCAAACGAAAAACCAGAAGAAAATACATTGATCAAAGGTCAACAATAACTATACGGATTTTATTATTTTTTTTCCAAATTCGTTCCAAATATTGAAAAATTCCAAATTTTGAAAATTCCAAATTTCGACCCGGCAGAACTTACAAACAGTTAACAGTTTAATAAACTGTTTTCTGATTAAATACCATTACAGAATAAATTCTTATTCCATTGGTAACCCTAGAATTTAATTCATGAACAACAAAAAGTCATGCCGGTCACAAATAAAATGCACAGGATGAGCGATACCATTTCAGAGTACTTCATACATTCGTTGCGAAGAGAGGTTACTCCATTCCGCACAAACAGAACAAAGCGTGTACGTCTTTTTACTGTTGTTGTTTTTATTGTTATTATTTGAAAAGTACGTTTCCAGTTGATGATATTGACTGTTGAATGTAAAGCTTTACACACACGGGAGGTGTTATTGTCGTTATTTTGGAGGTTTTGCCTTTGTTTTTGATATTTGGTTAAGTGGTTTAAAGCAATTCCTAACAACAGCCAGTTGTTCAGCCACAAAATTTAGAGATAAAATCAATTATCAACAACGGAATATTAAAAAAAGATTGAATTTTTTCAATGGACATAGAATTTGACATTGTGTTTTCAATTTCAGAGTGTTTTTTTTTTTTGCTGTATCCAGAGAAATCATATCAAGCCATCAACACCTACTTGCCTATAAATTTCTACCTCATCAGCTCAGGACAAAGGTAAATATATAAATCATTTAAAATAAATAAATAAAAATTGTCCAACACCATAAATGTTTGCCTACTGCAAAGAATAAATGGCAAATATGTCCTGAATCCGGTTTTCGGGTGAATGACCTCCAATATCAACATTCCATACACTCGTTGTTCCGCCCAATATAGTTTTAGGGTTTCCCCACCAATACGAATTCGTACAAAATCATCAGTAACATATTTTAACATTTCTCAATGTCATTTATCTGTCTGACAAGTCGACCCATATTGTGCTGGTTGTTGTTGTTGTTTTCGATGTGCCTTTTATGTGACTGAGAGTTAAGCGCGAGGTCAATTGAACACTTTTTGTGTTTGATTTAATTTATTTAATGTTCTTTGCAAGAGACCGGAGAGAATTTCAATGAATTAGTGAGAGCGACAAAGAAAGAGGGAGAGAGAGAGTTGAAAAATATTGCTGTTTTTGTTTACAAAATATTCTTGCAATTTGAGAGACAATTAAGTGGGAGAGTTTGTGTTAGGCTGACCAGATGGGACAAAAAAGTTGACTAAAACAATTTTAACATCAGAAGCAAAATTAAAGCTTAATAAATCATAACGCCATAGGGGTAGATGGTACTCGGCCTGATTAATTTGCCTGATTGTTAAAGTTGCATAGGTTCGGTAAAAATAAAACAATAATCCTGGAATATTAAAAAAAAATGTTGGTAACGGAAAGAAGATTCTAAATTAAAGTTATTAGGGTTTGACCAAAGGAAAGGGAAGGAAATTAATATTACTAAAGCAGTGAAACATATATATCAATAATATATATTTATACCCTCTACCATACATAGTATGGAGGGTATATTAAGTGCGTCATTCTGTTCGTAACTCATCGAAATAATAATTACTATTAATAGACAAGGCACGGTCGACGAAGGGGTTTTTGTTGTAACAGACAAAACCAACTTACATGGTTATGCTACTTCGTTCAGGCTGAACGAAAGCATAACAAGTGGAGAAAGATGTAAATGTTTATAAGTGCGGTTGTAAGATTTAGAAGACTTTCCAAGAGAATTTTAGTTTTATTTAATTCTTTGGTTCCTCTTCTATTGAGCTTACGATCTCGTCACTTGGGTAAAAAATGTTTTTTGTCATAGAAGTTATTTTTTTAAATAACTTCTGGGGAGAATATCCCAGGCAAAAACAAGGGAACTGATGAGGATTGGTGGCTCTTTCCGAAACCTAGGTATTCCCTGCCTTACCCCCTGGTAAACATTACCATCGTTCTCCACTAATAAACAAACGTTGTTTTTATAAAAACAACAATAAAGGGATAAAGCCAGACCATTTTGCAAAAACAAAATACTACGGTATCCCGAACAAACAAGCCACACTGTTCTATTTTCACACATAGTAAAGTAGATATACTTATTCTTGATCAAAATTCTAAGACCTGTCCGTCCGTCTGATGTAATCACGCTAGAGTCAAAACGAATGAAGATAAAATCTTGCACAGATTAGTATTTTGTCTGCAGGCAGGTCAACTTCGAAGATGGTCTTTATCGATCCACTATATCATATAGCCCCCATATATCAGTACCCCCCCAATATTCAGTAATTTGATGATTGTAGCTAAAATTTTCAATAAAACTGTCTGAAAATCCATACAAAGAATTTCTTCTGAGTACTTTAAGCCCTGAAAGAGAATTTTGTATATAGATTCACGATATCGTATATCCTCCATAAAACGGTACCTCCTTATATTCGGTATTTTGATATTTTTGCTATATTTTTCAATGGAATTGTCTGAAAATCCACACAAAAAGTTCTTTCTAAGCACTTTACCCCCTGGAAGTGAATTGTGTATATAGGTCCACGATATCGTATAGCCCCCGATATTCGGTATTTTGATGATTTTAGCGAAATTATTCACCGGATTTGTTTCAAATTTCGTATTTAGAGTTCGATGTGAGAACTACAGTCTATGACAGAAAAGTGTCTATCCACGTCCAAGTCTTCATATAGGCCACATATATCGGCACCTCCCTATATTCGATATGTTGAGGATTTTAGGTACATTATTAAACGGAATTGTTTCAAATTTCGTATTTAAAGTTCGTAATGGATGCTACAGCCTAGGACAGAAATGTGTCTGTGCAGGTCCACGTCTTCGTATAGCCCCCATATAGCGGTACCTCCCGATATTCGGTATTTCGATGATTTTAGCGACATTATTCACGGGAATTGTTTCTAATTTGGTATTTGAAGTTTGTAATGGATATCACAGCCTGAGTCAGAAAATTGTCTGTGCAGGTCCACCTCTTTAGGGACAATTTTCACCAGAATTGTTTCAAATTTGATATTTGAAGTTCGTTCGTAACATTTTTGTATGCAGCCCGTATAGCCTCCATATAACGGTACCTCCCAATACTCGGTATTTTTATGATTTGTGCTGCATTATTCTCCGGAATTGTAACAAATTTCGCATTTAAAGTTCGTAACGGGTACTTAAGCCTATGATAAAAAAAATTTGTATGTATGTTTACGTCTTAGTATATCCCCCATATAACGGTACATCCTGATATTCGATATTTTGATGATTTTAGCGACATTATTCACCGGAATTGTTTAAAATTTGATATTTAAGTTCGCAATGGATACTACAGCCTATGACAAACAATTTCGTATGTAGATCCACCTCTACGAATAGTCTCCATATAACAGTTTTCATCTAAGTGGTAGCTTCCGGAAGATTTTTGAAATTTTTCAAGCTCCTTCCAAATAGCGGTGGTTATTAAAAGTTCGGCCCGGCCGAGATTAGCTGCTTTTTTTACATGTTTTCAATAAACAAAATAAATAATATATAAATTTTTTTCATTACAGTAACTAAACAAACATGAGACTAGTAATTTTGGAAACATCCGATGCCGTTGGTCTATGGGCTGCAAAATATGTGACAAAACGTATCAATGATTTCAAACCGGGACCAAATAAGTAATAAAACCCCATTGAAGTTCAAAATATGTTTAAAACTTAATTTTTGAATTTTCAGATATTTTGTATTGGGTCTACCAACGGGCAGTACTCCCTTGAGTATGTACAAACATTTGATCAAGTTTCACCAGCAAGGCAAGGTATCATTCGAATACGTGAAAACATTCAATATGGATGAATATGTGGGTAAGTGCTAAAAACTAAGAAAAAGCTATGCATTTTGCCGGAATATACTTGAGCCCTTATCCCTTTTTTTTAGGCCTTCCCCGTGATCACCCGGAAAGCTATCATTACTATATGTTTGAGAATTTCTTTAAACACATTAATATCGATCCGAAAAATGTCCACATACTCGATGGCAATGCTCCCGACTTAGTGGCAGAGTGTAATAAATTTGAAGAGAAAATCAAAGAAGCCGGTGGTGTGGAACTTTTCATTGGCGGCATTGGTCCCGATGGTCATATTGCATTTAATGAACCTGGTTCATCGTTGGTATCACGTACCCGCGTAAAAACCCTGGCCCAAGATACACTGGAAGCAAATGCCAGATTTTTCGATAACGATATGAGTAAGGTACCGCGACAAGCGTTGACGGTGGGTGTCGGTACTGTTATGGACGCCAAAGAGGTGATGATTTTAATAACCGGTGCCCATAAGGCTTTTGCCTTGTACAAAGCCATCGAAGAGGGTGTAAATCATATGTGGACTGTCAGCGCTTTCCAGCAACATCCCAACACTCTGATGTTGTGCGATGAAGATGCCACGCTAGAGTTACGTGTTAAGACTGTCAAATACTTTAAGGTATGCTGTATTGCAGATAATTTTTAGTTGTAGTTGAGGTGATGGTGTTGGTTTTGGAGATAGGTGAAAAGTAAAAAAGTTTAAGTATTGTAAATATTGTTAAGTTTATGGTGTAAATCATGGTCAATTTAATAAGGCCACACAGTAGGGGGATTAAGATCGTATCCTTCTCTTGCTGCCAGAAGTTTTTCTACGTGGAATCTTCTAAAATAGATGGAAACATTTGAAACCGTTTTAATTATTAAATTGTGTGTTTGGCAGCAAAAGAAGGCCTTGTAAATATACTTTTGTATACATTTGATATATAAATCAAAGAAACTGTAGATATTTGACCAGTCTTGAAGGTGAAACTTTAAAGCTATCAATATCTAAGTTGTAATATAATAAATATTCTAGTTTAAGACGGTATACTAATTTTGGTGCTGCAGTAATGGTGTTGGTTTCAAGATCCTTTAGTCAGCTAGTAATTTCTTTCTATTCTATACACTTTTGATATTATTTAAATTTTCCCCTTTGGGATATAGAATATATTCATTTTGTAATTCATTGAAATAATCGTTATACCCTCAGCCATTCGGCTAGCTATACACTCAGCCATATGGCTTGAGAGTATATATCATTTGATACGGCCATAACGTCCCTCATCGAAATAATGGTTTTAGACACTAGGTCTCTTTGGACCAAATCCGTTTTAGGACATTTGGAGTCAATCTAGAGATATCCGTCCGTCCGTCTGTCTGGCTCGAATAACTCGCGAGGGGAGTTACCGATTTGATCCAAAATTGGTACATCGAAATATCATAGTCAAACTTAGATCGAGTTCGGAAATGGGCAATATCGGTCCACTCCTTCTGGTACCCCCCCCCCCCCCACAAAATCTCAACATTTTAAAAGAAAATAATTTACTGCACAGAAAGAGGAACGATAATCCCATTTTGTTCCAACTTTGCAAAACCTAATATTTATATCAGTGCTAGGTCAGGTGCGAAAATGGAAAATATCGGTCGACTCCATCAAGTACCTATCTAACAAAGGGTCAAAAAATTTTGAATAATTATAAATCTTATAAAATGTGATGTAAGAGTCCGATTGTCTTCAAATTTCACACATCTCAATAATTTTATTAACCCAAGGTCTGGTGTGAAGATGGTCCCCCTCCATCTGGTACCTCCCCCACAAAGGGTTCAAATTTTGAATATTCATGAAGCTCATAAAACACGCAATTAACCTCCGATTCCATTCAGACTTGGCACATCTCAATATTTACTTGAACACAAGATCTGTTATAAAGATGGTAGAGATCGAACAATTCCTTCTGGTACCTCCCCCACAAAGGGTCAAAGTTTTAAATAACCAAATCGATTATAAAATCCGAAATAAGCATCCGGCTCTCTTTAAATTATACACATCACAATATTTTTCTTAACACAAGGTCTGGTGTGAAGATGGAGTATATCGGTCCACTCCTTCCGGTACCTCCCCCACAAAGGGTCAAAATTTTGAATATCAATGAAGCTCATAAAACGCTAAATTGACATCCGATTCCATTCAGACTTGAAGACCAGAAGATCTTTCTCCCATAGAAAATCCATAGAATACAAGAAGATCTTCTTCTCATAAAAGACCATAATGTCTTCTTCTCAGAAAAGACCAGAAGGTCCTCTTCCCAGAGACCAGAAGGTTTTCTTTCCAAAGAAGACCAGAACTTCTTCTTCCCATAGATAGACTTATATCTGTCATATCTTGCGACACAAGTCGGTGATTCTCAACAACTTGTTACATCTAAATATATCCCTTAGCCAAAATTTGATATGAATATGTAATTTATCGAATTTATGATTTCGTATAAAATTGGATATAAATGTTCGATTTCCTTCAAATTTTGCAAATACCAATATTTTTATCTGTATTAGATGAAGTATGAAAATGGTATACTTCGGTCTGCTATATCGAATATTATCTCGAAAATATTCTGGAGTGTGTATAAATGGTTCCTCGATTCATTTCGCTCGCATAACGGCCACCAAAATCTCCGGAGAGCAATCCGTTGGACTATTGTGTCTGTAGTATTTTGGAAAGCTAGATTGGCACTAAAAAATTCCAAAGTGTCGATCACCTCTAGCAAGCGCTTCGCCGGGGATCAAAATACCGTAGACCAACATTCTGGCAGCGTGTGACGGTTTCATTGGACGTTTGAAGGCCATAAGTCGTGCCAAGAGTGACCAATTCGAACAAAATCTAAACTTGTTCCAAAATTTGATGCTATTTCCGACATTTTTGCTTTTATTCAATAAAATTTAATAAAAAATGTAAAAATTGTGGCGTTTGACTTTGTTGCAGTTTTTTATCTTGCCCTGTAATTCCTATGTTTGTTTTTTTTAAACACACAAGTTAACACTTTTTTAAGTTATGATCCACATTCTTGCGGATCCACGTTTTAGTGGATCCGACAAAATATGTTGGTTCATTGTGGTTGGACGATTCTTAATATCAGCTTTCCAGAAAAGCTATTATTTAACATTGCTTAAGCATGACAGTTGTGGTGGAAATAATACATTAAGCACGGTCTAATTTAACCCCTCTTTTAACTTCTTGACTTTACGAACTTTTTTCTGTAAATAATTATCGTATAAAATTAATTTTCTTATTTTAATGAACTCAAATTTATGAAAGGCTTTGAAATTGTATTAAACTTTTGACGCTCTAACAGATTTGCTTCAAATTACAATTTTAGTAGAAATAGATTTTCGGTCTGCTTTTGTAGAATTGAGAAAGAACGAATTCGAATGATCACCTGTTTTTTATTTATTTATTTATTTAAATTATTGTATATTTTGGAGGAAAAAAATTTCAATTTAAAAAGCAAACAGTTGTAAAACTAAAAAAAGGGAAAATGTTTCCAGGTACAGAGCATTTTAGAATTCGTTCGATTGAATTTTACAAAAGACAGTCAAAAAAAAAAATATTTTTCTCTAAATTTTTTTATGTTGACTCATTTCATTTGTTTATATCATATAGGGTATTCAAAGAGATAACAGCACTGACGAAAAGGACACCAACTGAAAATTAATTATATAATAAGTATGTGTGTTTTATGTTTGATTTTATAGTTATAAACATATTACAATGTGAATCATAGGAGATTTGTGAATTAGGAGATTTGCTAAACAAAACAATGAGTTCGATGCGTTGAAATATTTTAGGAATTTAAATTAAAAATCAGTTCATGTTTTTATTTCATACTTAATTTTTTACTTATTTTATTGTATTTTTATAAAAATGTCTTTTTAATAACCTCCTTTATATATTCCTTTTACAGTGCCTAATGGATGTCCATATGAAACTCATTGATGGAATGTAATATCAACTGCCCCGATTTTACGGCATTGGAATATTTTTATCTGATACTAACTGTTTTTAGTACAATACTATATATATTTTTGAAAAATATAATTGTTTTATACATTTGCTCTTATTTTTTTATAATAAACACATTTTTCTAACAGAATGAATTAGAAATTAGTGAATATATGTTTGAGTTCGAAAAGTTTAAATATTACCAGTCCTTGGATATTTCTACAGGACTCAGCACCATCGCACTCAGCACGCGCCACCCAAGAATGGTTACAAAATGAGGTTCCTCGCTTCATTTCCAGCGCACAATGGCTACCAAAATCTCCGGATACAAATCCGTTGGACTATTGTGTCTGGAGTATTTTGGAAAGCAAGGTTGGCACTAAAAAATACCAAAGTGTCGATCACCTCAAGCAAGCGCTTCGAGTGGAATGGGGTAAAATACCGCAGAGCAACATACGGGCAGCGTCTGACGGTTTCATTGGCCGTTTGAAGGCCATAATTCCTGCCAAAGGTGACCGATTCGAATAAATCTAAACTTATTCTAAAATTTGATGCTATTTCCGACATTTTTTGCTTCCATTCAATAAAATTTAAAAAATGTAAAAATGATGGTGTTTGACTTTGTTGCAGTTTTTTTTATCTATTTTGAGGATTTTAGCGACATTATTTATCAAAGTTGTTTCAAATCTTATATTTAGAGTTCGGAGCTACATTCTATGCCAGAAAATTGTCTATGCAGGCCGAGGTCTTGGTATAGGCAACATATATCAGTACCTCCCTATATTCGGTATTTTGACGATTTTAGGTACAATATACACCGAATTGAATTTGAATTTCCTAATAGGTACTACAGCCTGTGACAGAAAATTGTCAATGCAGGTCTAGGTCTTCGTATAGGCCCCATATGTCAGTACCTCCCTATATTCGGTATTTTGATGATTTTATCTTTTATTCACCGCTTTTTTTCAAGTTTTGTATTTGAATATTGTTATGGCTTATGACAAAAGTTGCCTATGCAGGTCCATGTCTTCGTATAGACCCCAATATTACGGCTATATTCGATATTTTTAAGATGTTAAAGGATTTTTAACGGATTTTATTTATTTATTTTTTTTTTTTTTTTGAAGATTTCCAAATTCGGGTATTCAAAGTTTGGCTCTGCCGAACTTAGCTCCTTTTTTTCCTTTTTGTTATCTCTGCTTTCATAATCTGCTGGGTTTTTCCAGTTATTATACCCTACACCACAAGGTGGTCAGGGTATTATGTCTTTGTGCATTTGTTTGTAACAGGCAAAAGGAAACGAGATAGGCCCATAGTTCCTTTTGATGATCTGCATAGAATCACATTCTGAGTCGATTTATGCATGTCCGTCCGTCCGTCTGTCCATGTATTTTTGTAAACAAAGTACAGCTCGCATTTATTGCCCTATCCAGATGAAATTTTGCACAGATCATTTGTTTGGCCCAAGGACGAACCCTATTGAAATTGGAGATAATCGGTCAAAATTTAGATATAGCTCCCACACATATCTTTGTCCGATTTGCCTTTTATTGTGCACCAAACGTGTAATATCAGTTCGAATAGTATGGAATTTTGCATATACACCCAAATTAGGCCTGAAAATATGTATGCCAAATTTGATCGAAATCGGTTCAGATATAGCTATAGCTCCCATATATATTGTTCATCCGATGTGTTAATTTTGTCCACCGCCGCCGTAATATGCACTATGCAACAACAATATTTGGGGAAATATATCAAATACAGCTCAGGAATACATTTGCAAAATTTTATCGAGATCGGTTCATATTTGGATATAGCTCCCATATATAACTTCGTCCGATTTACCTTTTATTGTGCACCAAACGTCTAATATTTGTCCAAATGGGAAATGGAATTTGGCACTTACGACCGAATTGAGTCTAGAAGCTAGTATGTCAAATTCGGTGAAGATCGGTTCAGATATAGCTATAGCTTCCATATATATTATTCATCCGATTTGTTATATTTGTTACTCACAACCGTAATATGCACTCCGTAACAACGATATTCAGGGAAATATATCAAATACAGCTCAGAAATATCTTAGCCAAATTTTATCGAGATCGGTTCAGATTTGGATATAGCTCCCATATATATATTTACCCGATTTCAAATTAACTGTGCACCAAATGTGCAATACAAGTCCGAATTTAAAAGATATAAATGCTTCGGTATATTTAGTCCTTTGAACTTTAAATTATAATTATAATCATAGCGTGTATGATTGAATTCTCCCATAAAAACTTTTAATTGTTACGTGGAGCTCTACTAAATTAGCAAAGTGGTGTAGGGTATCATAAAGTCGGCCCCGCCCGACTTTAGGACTTTCTTTACTGGTTTTCTGTTGCATCTGTGATTTGAAAGTCAATAAAATATTAAAAAAATTAACAAAAAGGCGTTATTTTACTCATTATAATTTATTTATATATTAAAAATATTTATTTTTGGTTTTACTTCCAGTTTTTTAATTCTTTTAGTTTTTTTTCATAAAAGAAAGACAAAACTTTCTTCAAAAGTTTACAAATTAAAAATGTAATTTTTATATAGAGAGCTATATAAAGGACATTTTCGTGATTTTTCTCCTCAACATTTCCAAGTTTAAAACTTTTCTAAATTCTACTCATTTTCTTGTTCTTAATTCTATATACAAACTTTATATTTAAAATATAAAGTAAGATAAAAATTATGATTTCTTTTTTCAAATAAAAATACTTCGATCTTCCTGCGGATGTATCGAACCATTCACCATTAGACCCATCAGGGCTTTCATATAGAGAATCGAACGTATTGAGGCCTCCAACACCTTCTCATTGGCCTCGAGACGTTCACGATATTGTTGTTCCACCAACATTTCTTCTAACTTCTTGGCTCTTCGCGTCAGGCGACAGGCTTCGGTGTTACGTTCCCGTTTCAATTGTTCCTCCATGGAACGTTCGCGTTGCGGATGTTGGCGGGCCATATTACCATGATAACGACATACTTTATTGATAACCTGTTGGGAGACTTGAAATACCCCCTCTTTGGTTGCCAAGTGGAGGGCGGCTTGTTTGCGTAGATCATCATCAGCATCACCACCATCCATTTCACCATGTTTCCTTTTCAAATTTTGACTACGTTCGGCATAGATTCTCTGACGGGCTTCATCCAAATATGTTCGTGGTATCTTCTTGATACCCAAATCGCTACGTATGGATTTGTAGAAATAAAATTCACTGGCAGTTCCATTATTACAACTGGGCTTCCGGGATTTTCTTTGGCGTATTTTACTCTCTCGGAATAAACGACGTTTTACCTTTTCCACCGATGCCTGGTAATGACTCAGCTTTTGGGGCATCATCAGGGCGTTTACAGCATTCCAGAGGACACAACGATTAAACTCCACCGGTATGGTGGTCATTGTCGAAACATCACTGCCATGCAGGATATATATCTGGCGTATACACTCGTTGAGAAAGGAACGTTTGCCGGGCGATTTGAAATTCACCTCTTGGCGACAGTATTCACTGTAGTAGCCATGAGGGTCACACGAGTTAATCGATTCTTTGTCAACAACAACAATTTCGTTACTTTCAAACATATCTTTACAACAACAAAAGTCACTTTTGTTACGCGCGGATTTTTTTAAATAATTTGGGAGATGTTTTCCTTTTGAAAACTAACCTAAAAATAATACCTCTACTAAAGTTAACCTAACCTTTTATACCCACACCAGACCTGTGGCGGATTAACGGCCAGGTAGCCAGGTAACATGTTGTGGCATGAGTAACCCTAAAAAGGAGAATATGATTTATTGGGAAATTACATTAGGTTCGTGGAACATCAGGTAAAAGTGTTGTGGTGGCTATTTGAAACTTCGTCGAAAAGGTGTGCAGGGGAATAATGAATTCATGTAATCCCCGTTTAAAACATCTGATTAGAAATTTGCAAATCGTAGAACAGATGCTTTCAAGGACAAGGACTAAAAATGAAAGTAGAAGACATTATGGAAAGGTAAAATATGATTTAGATTCGAATTCGCAAAAAGGAAAGGACGATCTTGACTTTCTTTCTATAAAAGGCAGTTTATAAATTTGTTTCTTTGGTGGATTAATTTCAAGGGTCTTATTTTCACAGAAAATCTGGGAAAGGTAAATACCTTTGAAATGTCATCTTACTATCAGAGGTCTTATGTTTATAGGTGATCCGCCTCTAGAAGACCTTCGAAAGGTCTGATTATAGAATTTTGTTCGATAACTCGAAAGTTCAGTAAATGAGAGGGAGTGAAGAAGAGAGCAATTTTGACAGTTGAGTTATTGAGAGTTTTTCCGAATTCTTACTGGAAATACATTTTCATTATCTATCTATAGTATGTGTACGATTACTATACCCTCCACCTTACTATGGAGGGTATATTAATTTTGTCATTCCGTTTGTAACTCCTCGAAATACTCATGTCGTAAATGGGCCATGTAGGTCCACGTTTTCATACAGCCCCCATATAAAGGTACCTCCCGATATTCGATACTTTGATGATTTTAGCGACATTATTCACCGGAATTGTTTCAAATTTGACTTTTGAAGTTCGAAATGGATACTGCAGCCTGAGACAGAAAATTGTCTGTGCAGGTCCACGTTTTCATATAGCCCCCTATAACGGTACCTCCCGATATTCGGTATTTTGATGATTTTAGCGACATTATTCACCGGAATTGTTTCAAATTTGTTGTTTGAAGTTAGTAATGAATAATACAGCCTAAGGCAGAAAATTGTCTATGCAGGTCCACGTCTTCGTGTACTTCCCTTCCCATATAACTGTACTTCCCAATATTCGGTATTTTGATGATTTTAGCGTCATTATTCACCGCAGTAGTTTCAAATTATGTATTTAGAGTTCGTAATGGAAACTACAGTCTGTGACAGAAAATTGTCTATGCAAGTTCGGGTCTTCGTATAGGCCCCATATATCAGTACCTCCCTATATTCGGTATTTTGAGGATTTATGTACGACACTCACCGAAATTGTTTGAGATGTCGTATTTGAAGTTGGCAATGGAAGCTACAGCCTGTGACAGAAAATTGTCGTATAACTCCGATATAACGGTACCTCCCTATGTATGGTATTTTGATGATTTTAGCTACATTATTCACCGTTTATTTCAAGTTTCGAATTTGGTAATGGCTCGTGACAAACAATGCCTATGTAGGTGCGCGTCCTGCTGACCTAATATAACGGCTAGCAGAATATTTGGCGAATGTTATCTTTTTCGAAAATTTCCAAATTCGTTCTAAATGGTGGAGGGTATTTACTTTAACTTACGGCTTTTTTACTTTTTTTTAATAAAATTTTGCAGACAGACGTATACCCTCAGCCAATGTCCGATTTTTTCAAATATATTTTGACTTATGTTATGACTATTCAAATTGTTGACCCTCTATGGAGTAGCTTGCGATGGACAATATTGGTCCATTCCGATTTGGGCCTAAACAAATATTGTGACGAGCCTGGTGACTAAGTCGACTACTTCTTTCACTTTATATGAGATATATGGTAATTTTTAGAAAATGTTAAAATGTACGTGAGGTACCAGATATAGTCGACCAGAGTATTACATTTTCATGCTTCGTCAAAGCGAAATCATAAATTCCATTTCCATCTCAGGTTTCTGGTTGAGAGAACTATTTAGATATAGCAAGTTGTAAAAAATCGTTGACTTGTTTCCCAAGTTATGACAGATAAAAGTATTGAAAATTGAGACGCTTTGTGGGTGAGGTACCATAAGGGATTCGCAGATATAAATATAATCTTTACAACAGATCATGCGTTGGCAAAAATATTTGGATGTGTGACATTTGAAGAGAGTTGGATGCTTATTTAGCTTTCTTTGAGCGTTTGGTTTTTCAAAATCTTGAACCTTATGTGGGGAAGGTACCAGAAGAAATGGTCCCATCTCTACCATATTTATAACAGAGCTTGCGTTGATGGAAATATTCAGATGTACCAAGTCAGAATAAAATGGAATCGGATGTTAATCTCGCGTTTTATAATCTTTATGGATATTCAAAATTTTGACCCTTTGTGGGGGAGGTAACAGAAGAAGTGGATAAATAATAGGATCTGGGAAATATGAAGACAATCGGATGCTTATTTCGGATTTTATAATCGTTTTGGTTATTAAAAATATTGCCCTATTATGGGGGAGGTATCATAAAGAATGGTCCGAATTCTACAATCCTTATAAAATATCTTGTGTTGATGGAAATATTGAGATGTGCAAAGTCTAAATGGAATCGGATATTAATATCGCGTTTTATGAACTTAACAAATATTTAAAAAAATTACTCTTCGTGGCGGAGGAACGAGAAGAAGTGGACCGACATATTCTATCTTCACACCAGACCTTGGGTAAATAAAAATATTGTGATGCGACTAATTTGATTACAATCGGACCTCACATCACATTTTATAAGAGTTTTTACCCTTTGTGGGCGGGGCACTTGATGGAGCGGACTGATATTATCTATTTTTGCACCAGACCTAGAACTCACGCAAATATTAGGATTTGCAAAGTTGGAGAAAAATCGGATTATTGCTTCTCTTTTTGAAAATTGAAAATTTCAACCTTTTTTTTTGAAAATTTCAACCTTTTGTGGGAAGGTACCAGAAGGAGTGAACCGATATATTCCATCTTAACACCAGACCTTGGGTTAATAAAAATATTGTGATGTGACTAATTTGACGACAATCGGACCTTACATCACATTTTATAAGAGTTGTAATTATTCAAATATTTTAACCCTTTGTGGGGGAGGTACTTGATGGAGTGGACCGATATTGTTGACTTTCACACCTGACGTAGCACTGACGCAAATATTAAGATTTGGAAAGTTGGAGCAAAACCGGATTATCATTTCTCTTTCTGCCCAAACAATATATATTTTTGAAAATTTCGACCTTTTGTGGGGGAGGTACCGGAAGGAGTGGACTGATATTGCCCATCTTCGAACTCGATCTAAGTTAGATAAAAATATTACGATGTACCAAGTTTGGACCAAATTGGATACACCCTTCGAGAGTTATCGTGCGGACCAGCCAGACGGACATCGCTAGATCGACTCCAAATGTCCTGGAAAGGATTTGGTTAATAGAGAGCTAGGGTCTAAAACTGTTATTTCGATGAGTCACATTTTGGCCGTATCAAATGATATATGCCCTTTGTAGCCATATGACTGAGGGTATAAAAAAGATCGAAAATTTTTATGGCTACTCAAAATTGACAATATTTTTGGATTTTTTCAATATTTTTATTGGTGTTCCAATTTTACAATAAAGATTTTGGTGGAGATTTCTTAGATGTTTAGAAGGGTCTGTTTTAAAGATTTTTAAAGCACTCGGAAAGGACAAAAATGTTGAGTTTTTTAACTAATTATAGGAAGATTTTTTGAAGATCCTTAGAAAGACTCAAAAAGGATATAAGCTTGAATTTTTGAAGTTTTTAAAAATATGAGAATGAGCAATAAATATAGATTTCTTTGTGATTGTTGTTGGATCGACTCCAAATGTCTTGAAATGGATTTCGTCCAAAGAGACAAGGGCTCTAAAACCGTAATTTCGATGATCCATTTTGAGTCCCTTTGAAAATCTTTAAAAAAATCCTCGTTTATTGTGCACAATGGCACCTTCAAAAGTTGACGTTTATTGTGTACAATGGATCCTTTTAAATATCCTTCAAAAATCCACGTTTATTGTCCACAGAGGGTCCTTCAAAAATTCTTCCGAAATCAACGTTTATTGTCCACAGGGGGTCCATTAAAAATCCTTCCAAAATCCACGTTTATTGTGAACAACGGGTCCTTCAAAAAATCCTTTAAACCGGCCACGTTTATTGTGCACAGTGGGTCCTTCAAAAACAATTTTTTTGAACTTGTCATAGTAATAATAATAACAAAAAAGTTGAAATTATTAACGATTTTTAGAAGTATATTTGAAGTTTTTATAAGGATTCGAAATGAGCAATAAACGTTGTTTTTTCATAGATTATTGGGAGGTTTCAAAATGGACAATTCACAAGGATTTTTAAAGATTTTAAGCAGGACTCCAAACGAGCCACTCCAAGAAACGAATATTTTTTTGGAAAACAGACGAACGGACAACCCCTAGATCGACTCTAAATGTCTTTAAATGGATTTCGTCCAAAGAAACCTGGATCTAAAACCGTTATTTCGATGAGCCATTTCAAGCCCTTCTAAAAATCCTTCAACACTCCACCTTTATTGTGGACAATGAGTCCTTCAAAAAATTCTTCAAAAATCCAATTCTAGTTTTTGTAAAGATAAGAATGTAGAATTTTTTAAAAATTGTTGGAAGGATTCAAATTAACAAGTAACAAGGATTTTTAACGATTTTTAAAAGGACTCACAAGCGGGTTAAAGCAGACAACAAACATGATTTTATTAGAAGGTCCTATAGTGCCTATATACTATCAGAAATTCATCTACATTACATTAGTCTGCTGTAGAGGACTCTGAGGTTTGGTGCTCTACAGAAGACACCTTTAAGGACAGAAACTCTCCAGTAGAGAACTCCAAAGATCTCTCTTTGGTCTGCTATTTTAGAGTGTGGGCCTGTGACCCCAGCTTCTCTCAGCGTCTTTTCAAACGAATTCCCAACTTCTAGCGCCGATAATATTTTCCAATAAAACTTTTATTTTACCCTCTTTTCTTATTAAACAATAAGGATTTTCCGGAAAATCGCACACTAACATAAGTTAGATACCTGCGGTGAACAGAAGTTATAAGCCATGTACAGCCGCGATGGTGAGTAGCAGTTATAAAACGGATATTCCCGCGAAACAAAACTCCAGGTAGATAAACATGTGATTAGAGGGATAACGATTTACTCATCAATTTTCCAACGACAACGAATCGAATATAAGCGAACTAAATTAGCAGTGCCTAACAGCATAAGCAAGTCAGCAGCGAAGCTGTGCAGAACTTGTCAAATAAATTTTCTCTTAATTTTTTTCAAAATTGCTCCCACCACCCTTCTATAGAATATGGGCAATTACATGGACAAAGGTTCGCACACATTTGAAGGAGATGAGGAGAACATACGTTCCGACATACCAAATGATCACAACAGTTCGGAAGTGGACACCACAACCGATACCCAAAGTATCGTGAGTGCCACCTCCAGCATCGAAGTGGCTCAGGAAGCTGGCGAAAGTATTGATTATCACATCTTCTCGTACAAACAAAATATACCCTTTAAACAGCGACAGGTCTTCCGATGGGCGGCGGCAAAGCTGGCACTGACCGAGGAGCTGATACGAACAAATCAGCTACGATCCGCGCAATTGCAACAGTCATCGTATTTGGAAACGGATACGGAATATTTAAGCGACGATGAAATGGATGAGGTGACCATTGATCAACAGTTACATTCCCTGGAAAAATATCGTACGGAATTGGTACAGCTACTGGGACGATTATCGTTGAATTCTCGTTCAAAGGCCAAACGGAAGAAGACGAAGAAATTTAAACGGCGTAAGCTGATATCGAAGTGTAATAACAACAAAGTGCAGAGCAGCGATTGTGATTATGATTCGGAGATGTCGGAGGCGCCCAAGATTAGTTTGCATCTGACCATATGTCGGGATAAGGTGGTGAAACGTCAGCCATTGAAGATTAAAAATTGTTGAATGGATTTTGAGAAGGGAGATTTGTAAAATCTTGAGATTTTTTTGATAGTATAAGTCGAGCGAGGAAAATGTATGAAATACAATAACAAAATTTGAAGCGAGTTTTAAGATTAATAAATAAAAGTAATTTAAATAAATTAATAAAACTTTATATTAACAAGTAAAATAATATCAGTCGGTTTTGCCGACAGATTTATACCCCAAGCCTTGAGTTATAATTATTAAAACTGTTGACCCTTTATGGTGGAGGTTTTAAAGCAATTGGCCAATATTGACCAATTCGTATCTGACCTAAGACTGATAAAAACATCACAACGTGCCAGATTTGGACTATGTCGACTACTTCCTATACTTTATAATTTTTGAAAAAAAAAAAATATATATAGCGGACCGAAGTATTCCATTTTCATACTTCCTCTAACACAGATAAAAACCGGTAAAGAAAGTCCTAAAGTCGGATGGGGCCGACTATATAATACCCTACACCACATTGATTATTAAGTAGAGCTCCACCTAACAATTAAAAGTTTTTATGGGAGAATTCAACCATACACGCCATAATTTATAATTTAAAGTTCAAAGGAGTAAATATGCCGAAGCATTTGTATCTTTTAAATTTGGACTTGTATTGCCCATTTGGTGCACAATTATCTTGAAATCGGATAAAGATATATATGGGAACTATAAGCAAATCTGAACCGATCTCGATAAAATTTGGCAAAGATATTTCAGAGCTGTATTTGATATATTTCCCTGAATATCCTTGTTACGAAGTGCATATTACGGCTGTGGGTAACAAATATAACAAATCGGATGAACAATATATATGTGAGCTATAGCTATATCTGAACCGATCTTCATCAAATTTGACATACTAGCTTCTAGACTCAATTCGGTCGTAAGTGCCAAATTCCATCCCATATGAGCAAATATTAGACGTTTGGTGCACAATAAAAGGTAAATCGGACGAAGTTATATATGAGAGCTATATCCAAATCTTACCCGATCCCGATAAAATTTAGCAAAGGTATTTCTGAGCTGTATTTGATATATTTTCCCACATATTGTTGTTACAGAGTTCATATTACAAGCTGCGGAGGACAAAAATAACAAATCGGATGAACAATATATATGGGAACTATATATATCTAAATTTTTACCGATTACCTCCAATTTCAATAGGGTTCGTCCTTGGGCCAAACAAATGATTTGTGCAAAATTTCATCTGGATCGGGCAATAAATGCGATCTGTACTTTGTCTACAAAATTACATGGACAGACGGACAAACGGACGGACATGCATAAATCTACTCAGAATGTGATTCTATGCAGGTCATCGAAAGGAACTATGATGGGTCTATCTAGTTTCATTTCGCCTGTTACAAAAAAAAAACGCACAAATACATAATACGCTGAGCACCTTGTGGTGTAGGGTATAAATATTGGTATGTGCTAATTGTGAAGGAAATCGAACATTCATATCCAATTTTATGTGAAATCATAAATTCCGACAAGTTCTATATTCATCTCAGGTTTCTGGTTAAGATAAATACTTAGATATAGCAAGTTGTAAAGAATCGTCGATTTGTTTCGCAAGTTATGGCAGATATAAGTATTGGAAATTGTGACACTTTGTGGGTGAGGTACCAGAAAGGGTTCGAAAATATATAATCTTCACATTATTTCGCTTTCTTTGAGCGTTTTGTTTTTCAAAATCATGAACCCCACGTGGGGGAGGTACCAGAAGAAATGGTCCGATCTGTACCATCTTTATAACAGATCTTGTGTTTATAGAAATATTAAGATGTGCCAAGACTGAATGGAATCGGATGTTAATTTCGTGTTTTATGAGCTTCATGAACATTTTGGCCCTTTGTGGGGGAGGTACTTCATAGAGTGGACCGATATATTTAATTTGCACACCAGACCTTGGGTTAATAAACATATTGTGGTGTGTGTAATTCGAAGAGAACCGGATACTTATTTCGGATTTTATGATCGTTTTGGTTATTTAAAATTTCAACCCTTTGTGGGGGAGGTACAGAAGGAATGGTCCGATCTCCATTTTTAAAACAGATCTTGTATTTATGGAAATATTGAGATGTAACAAGTCTGAATGGAATCGGATGTTAAGTTCGTGTTTTATGGGCTTCATGGATAATCAAAATGTTGACACTTTGTGGTAGAGGTACCAGAAGGAGTGGACGGGTACATCCCATCATCACAGTAGATCTTGTGTTAGTAGAAATAATGGGATGTGTGAAATATGAAGAGAACCGGTTGCTTATTTCGGATCTTATAATCGTTTTGGTTATTCGAAACTTTGCCCCTTTGTGGGGGAGATACCAGAAGAAATGGTCCGACCTCTACCATCTTTTTAACAGATCTTGTGTTGATGGAAATATTGAGATGTACCAAGTCTGAGTGGAATCGGATTTAAATTTCGCGTTTTAGGAGCTTCATGACTATTCCAAATTCAGATCCGTTGTGGTGGAGGTACCAGAAGGAATGGTCCGATCTCTACCGTCTTTTTAACAGATCTTGTGTTGATGGAAATATTGAGATGTACCAATTCTGAATGGTATCGGATCTTAATTTCGGGTTTTATGAGTTTCATGAATATTCGAAATTTAGACCCTTTGTGTGGGAGGTACTTGATACAACGGACCAATATATTCCATCTTCATACCAGGCCTTGGGCTAATAAAAATATTGTGTGTAATATTAAGAGAACCGGAGCCTTATTTCAGATTTTATAATCGTTTTGGTTACTGAAAATGTTAACCCTTTGTGGGGGAGGTACCAGAAGGAATGGTCCGATCTCTACCATCTTTCAGGAGCTTCGTGAATATTCAAGATGTTGAACCTTTGTGGAGGAGGTACCAGAAGGAGTGTACCGATATATCCCATCTTCAGAGCATATCTTGTCTTATTACAAATAATGTAATGTGTGAAATATGAAGAGAACCGGATGCTTATTTCGGATTTTATGATCGTTTTGGTTTTCCAAAACGTTGACCCTTTATGAGGAAGGTACTAGAAAGAATGGTCCGATCTCTACCATCTTTATAACAAGTCTTATATTGATGGAAATATTGAGATGTACCAAGTCCGAATGGAATCAGATATTAATTTTGTGTTCTATGAGCTTCAAGGATATTCAAAATTTTAACCCTTTGTGGGGGAGGTACCAGAAGGAGTGGACCGATATATTTCATCTTCACACCGGACCTTGGGCTAATAAAAAATATTGTGATGTGTGTATTTGAAAGAGAACTTGATGCTTATTTCAGATTTTATAATCGTGTCGGTTACTGAAAATATTAACGCTTAAAGGGGGGGGGGGGGGTTGGGGGTGTACCTAAAGGATCCGATCTCTACCATATTTATAACAGATCTTGTGTTTATTAAAAATATTGAGATGTGCCAAGTCTGAATGGAATCGGATGTTAATTTCGTTTGTTTTATGAGCTTCATTGATATACAAAATGTTGACTCTTTGTGGGGGAGGTACCCGAAGGAGTGGACCGATATATCCCATCTTCACACCAGACCTTGGGTTAATAAAAATATTGTGATGTGTGTAATTTATAGTCAATCGGACACTTACATCACATTTTATAAGAGTTATAATTATTAAAAATTTTGACCCTTTGTGGGGAAGGTACTTGATGGAGTGGACCGATATTGTCCATTTTCGAACCTGACCTAGCACTGATGCAAATATTACGATTTGCAAAGTTGGAGCAAAATCGGATTATCTTTTCTCTTTCTGTGCAGTAAATTATCTTTTTTTTTGAAAATTTTGACATTTTGTGTGGGAGGTACCTATCCGTCAGCCAGACGTACAGACGGACGGATATCGCTAGACCGACTCCAAATATTCTGAAATGGATTTCGTCCAAAGACATATGTGGTTTAAAACCGCTATTTCGATGGGCCATATGGCCGAGGGTATAAAAATTACGTTTACTATCCATTTTAAGTCCACCTAAAAATCCTAATATATTGTGCGTCCGTATAAAAATCTTTAAAAAATGCACTCTATTCTACTACACTCTATTTTTTAAAAATCCACGTTTACTATCTGATATGGGCCCCTCTAAACAATTTTGAAAAATTACTTTTGTTGTTCAATGAAAGGTTTTCCATCTTTAGATAGGCTCCTGAATGGTATTCTGAGTTAGAGGACTTATTTTTTCTCACCTTAAGTATCCATCACCTGCTAGTAGTTGAACGCAATGTCATTGACATGTTGGCTGGTCAGATGCCAGCGCTGTGTCACTCTGATTGTTAACTATTCGATGACCTTTTTTCCTCTTCGGCATTCGTGGCGGTTTCTGGGTTTCCCGTGTGACTTAATAATTAAATAATCTGCAATTAACGTTCGCTGTTTACTTTTTTCTTGGCGCATCACTGCCATCATCGCCAGAGATTGTTGGTTCATCAATCAACGACCATAGCCTTTTGACGGTTTACTTGTTTTTTTTTATTGCGATGGCCGAAGTGAAATAATTAACGAGGTCATTCACCAACCGAGGGCTAATGGAAAACCAAATTAAATGTAATTGAAAGGTAAGTATTTAATATTTTCAATGAATACTGAAATGGGGAGGGAGTCGGGGATTTTTTTTTCGAAATTTTTAAAAAGATCCCAAATTGCACAAATAGCTAAGGATTTTTAAAGGTTTCACTGCATGACAAAATAAAATTTGTTTAAACAATTTTAGGAAAAAACCAGCAGACTATGAAAGTAGAGCTAACAATAGAAGACAATCATATTGGGGATTTGAAAGTTTACATGGAAAAATAAATAAAATAAATATAGGAGGTCTCTCCACGTTTTTTGTAATTTTCGGATTAAGAATCCCTGGAATCTTTACATTGAAGTTATATAGTGTCTTTGTGGATTATTTTGACTGAAAATGTTAACCCTCAAACGAGTCAACTTTGAGGTATTTTTGGTCCTTTTTCCAAAATATGGTTCAAAACTCCCTTTAAACGGGATCGTAGCAACTCAAAATATTTTATAAAATTATTTGTCATAAAATTCTTCTACATGTCCCGAAAGACATCAAAAGTCTTAATCTTATCTAAACCCCGGGAATTCATATATATTAAAAAACATTTAAGGTTAAAGTCGTACTTTATGTGAGTTTATGCCAAAATTTCCTATAAAATAAAGTTTTCAATGAATGACGTCGAAAACAAAAATATTCTTCATAAATTTCCACTATAAGCCACCAACGAAAGGATATCTTAATTTCCACGGCATATCGAAAAAATATTGCAATTAAGGTTAAAAAAAATATTCCCTTTATTTTTTCCGGTCCATTCCCTCACAAAGGTAAAAATTTTGAATAATTATAACTCTTATAAAATGTAATGTAAGATTTTGATTGTAGTGGTAGAGATCGAACCATTTCTTCTGTTATCTCCCCCACAAGTGGTCAACATTTTGAATTACCAAAACGAGTATAAAATCGGAAATAAGCATCCGGTTCTCTTCATATTTCACACATCCCATTATTTCTACTAACATAAGAGACGCTCTGAGGATGGGATATATAGGGAGAGATAAAAAAATGCAAAAAAGTCAATCGCCATAATTTTTACATTTTTTATACCCTCCACCATAGTATGGAGGGTATATTAAGTTTGTCTATCCGTTTGTAACACCTCGAAATATACATTTTAGACCCCACAAGGTATATATATTCCTGATCAGCATAAAATTCTATGTCGATTTATCGATGTCCGTCCGTCTGTCTGTCTATGAAAATCACTCTAGCTTCCGAACGAAATGAAGTAGGTTGATTAAATTTTACTCAAATGTGTACTATGTCTCCAGGACTCTTGGTATTGAAAATGGGCTATGTAGTCCACGTCTTCGTATAGCCCCCATATAACGGTACCTCCCGATATGCGGTATTTTGATGATTCTAGCGAAATATTTTACCGGAATTGTTCCAAATTTGGTATTTGAAGTTTGTAATAGATACTACAGCATAAAACAGAAAATGGACCATGTAGATCCACGTCTTCGTATAGCCCCCATGAAACGGTACCCCCCGATATTCGGTATTTTGATGATTTTAGCGACATTATTTACCGGAACTATTTAAAATTTGGCATTTGAAGTTCGTAATGAATATGACATAGTATTGTCTGTGCAGGTCCACGTCTTCGTATAACCCCCATATAACGGTACCCCCCGATATTCGGTATTTGGATGATTTTAGCTACATTATAAACAGATTTTTTTTCAAGTTTCGCATTTGAATATTGTAATATATTGTGACAAAAGTTGCCTATGCAGGTCCACGTCATCGTATAGACTCTAATATACGGCTACATTAGGGATTTTCAAGATTTTAATAGAATTTTTAACGGATTTTATTTTTTTGAAAATTGTTAAATTTGTACCAAATGGTGGAGGGTATTCAAAGTTCGGTCCGGCCGAACTTACAGTTTTTTATATAATAATATAATAATAAAATATAATAATATTATTATATTATTATATTATAATTTTATTGAATGAAAGCAAAAATGTCGGAAATAGCATCAAATTTTAGAATTAATTTAGATTTGTTCGAATTATGGCCTTCAAACGGCCAACGAAACCCTCACACGCTGTTCGAATGTTGCTCTTCGGTATTTTGGCCCATTCCCGGCGAAGCGCTTGCTTGAGGTGATCGACACTTTGGTACTTTTTAGTGCCAACCTTGCTTTCCAAGGGGTCAACGGATTGGTATCCGGAGATTTTGGTGGCCATTTTGAGCTGGAAATGAAGCGAGGAACCTCATTTTGTAACCATTCTTGGGTGACGCGTGCTGAGTGCGATGGTGCTGGCGTTGGAGTCCTGTTGGAATGTTCAAGCTCTGCGACCAAAATTTGTGCGTGTCCAAGGCTTAAATACACTTTCCGGAATATTTTAGAGATAATATTCGGCATTTATTCTGAAGCAACGGTCGATTAATATGAGCGGAGAGCGATCATCGGCTGTTATGGCGGCCCACACCATCACCATGGCCGGCGCTTGAGTTCTGGTGGTCACATTTTCAGCTGACCTCTTTGGCAAGTAAACACGATCATGTTGTTTGTTTACAAACTGCTAGACAACGAATGTTTTCTCATCGGAGAAAATCAAATTCGGCTGTTCACCACTTTCGCCCAAGCGAAGCAACTCTTTGGCTCTTTTGAGTCTATTTTCTTTCTGTTGCGATGTAAGTTCTTGAACTTTTTGGAATTTCAATGGCTTCACCCCGAGCTCATTTTTCAATATTTGCCGAATGATATATTGCGATATATTCAGCTCACGAGCCATTTTTCGGCCACTGCGACGCGGCATTCGATCAAGTCGCTTCTTTACTTTTCGAACCATTTCTGCTGATGTTGCTGTTTTCTTCCGTCCACTTCCCCCTTCCTAGACGTCGGACTACGCTACAAGTATCGGCTACGGTAACGAGCGATGGTACGAGACACAAAAGATTTATTCACATATAAATGCTGGAGTGCTCTAACGATAGCCACTTGTGGCTTTCCAGCCAAATATAAAGAAATCTCACTATCACGCTTGAATTTTATCACGAATAACTTTTTTTCTGGAAAATTCTTACCAAAATGTACGTACCAAAATGTATTTTGTACGCTTGTAAACAATATAAGGAGCTGTCAATGGAATAATTTTAACAGCTGTCGGACGAGTGGCTTAGAAATTACAGCAGTCTGAAGTTGGTTGCAGTTTTTTCATCTCACCCTGCGAGATGACATCTTTTGGGACCTATAGCAGAATTTTATTTATCATATATTGCTCGAATATTTTCACTGTCCCGTTTTAAGGACAGTTTTTATCCATATTCAAAAAAAGGACCAAAAATGCAAATTTTTTGACTCGCTTGAGGGTTAAAATTGTCGATCAAAATATTCTTCGTGTTTTTATCTGCAATGTTGCCGAAGACCCTATATACCTAAAATATAAGGATTCCAAGGAATTTTAATATGAAATTTTCAAAAAATGTTGAGGGAGTGGGAACTTGGTCCCTGGATTTCCCTGTAATTATTTTTTCAAAAACTTTCAGAAGAAGCCTAGTTGGAAACTAAATGCGGATCTGTTAATAATATTTGGAAGGATTCAAAATGGATACTAAATATGGATTTTAAAGATTTTTAGAAGGATCCTATTGGATTTGGATTGGATTTTCTTTAAAGATTTTTCAAGATTTTGTAAAATGTCCCAATAGATGTATAGTTTTTAAGATTTTATTAATCGACGATAAATCTTCGATAGAAAAAAGATTCCGAGAGTCCTTCTGTAGATAGGAAGCCTGTTAAGAGTTCTTCTATCTCTAAATTGATCAGTTTGTAGATGCATTGCGATAAGCGCAGGCGCATAAAATTCCCATCCTCATTATCCAGGGTTTAAAAGGAGATACTACCACATTATGCACATTATGATGTAAGAATGACGACACAGCACGCTGATAACAGCAGCATAAGGACAATGGCAGACACACATTGTTGCTCCAAACATCCGGCCAGTTCGCCTGTTGAGGGTGTGAATAGACAGAATGAATAATGAAATTGGCTGTACGGCAAATTTCCGCACTTGATGACAACAGTTGGCATTTGTCTTTCGCTTAAAACGGTCGTGTTGTTCGTTCGCCTAAAAGTAGACTTCAAAAATGGATTAAGGGAGTAATAAATGGAGAAATTAAATGATTAGCAAATGGATTTCTATTAAAATGTTGAGTGAAATATATTTAAATTGAAAAAATAAAATATTCAAATATATGTTGTGAACAAATTATTATTTTGTGTAGATCAAATTTTACAAATGAAAAATGCAATTTCTGGATAAAAAGTGAAGATTTATTTTCTTCCGTTGCCATATTGAAAATATTGTGAATTTTTTAAAGAAACAAATTTAAAAATTGCTATAAATATAACAATAAATAAATGTGATAAATACAATACAAAAAAGCCATAACAATAAAATTTAACAAAAAAAATTAAAAAAGGGATAACAAAATACAAAGGAAATAACCACAAAACAAACCAATAAACAAACAACCAATAACAGGACATACATTTCACATAATTGATTGCCACCCAATACCAATTAACACTGTTTTGAGATAAGGATAATACACAACAACAGAAACAACAACAAGATGACAAACACCATACTTGGCAGATTAAAACTGCCGATAATAGTTTTGATATTTCTAACCAATTTTGGTGACAACAAAAGGAATACCTGCGGAGGTAAGTGAAAAACACAGTCTGATATACTTTTTTTTGTAAATATGTATGAATACAACAATAGCAACAATACAATAAGGAATAAACCATGTTATCTAACGTGTTAGCCTCTCCCATTTTTTGTGTTTTGGATTACATTTGACGAATATCATCAGCTTAACTTGTTTTTTTTTTCTGGGTCATTACATTTTAACCACAACCTTGATATGGGAAGGAAATACACTTGGGATTTGCTTTTCACTCGAATCAAACAATTGGTTTAGAACTGTGTACATATGCATGTATGTTAATTATTCAGGAACATATATTCATAAATATATTGAAGCTAGTATTTAGTTAACAATTTAAAGTAGTAGTTAAAGTGTAGTTTTTTTTATGTTTTAGGAAATTAGATTAAAATATATTAGAATCAAAAACCCTGGATATTAAAAACAATATTTTTAATGGAAGTTTAGAATCGAAAACGACAATTAAAAAAAAATAGAGAAAACTATTGAAGTCATTTAACGTGAATTTTTATATTTTTTCAATGGTATAGAAACGTTAATTTTTAAATATTTTTGAAGGGACAAAACTGTGTTTTTTTTTTTTAAAATATTAGAAATATTAGATATGAAACCCTGTTTTTTTTTAATATTTTTGGAGACATGCACAGTTTTTAGTAATCCTGGATTTTTTTTATATATTTTTGGAGGGACGTGAATTTTTTTGAAAAACGCAGATTTTTAACAATAACCTATACTGAAACCGAAGCTTTAAAAAAATTGTTTGAAGGGACGTGGTTTTTTTTGCATAAGAACAATGGAACAATTGAAAACGTAGCTTTTTATACCCTCCATCATAGAATGTAGGGTATATTAAGTTTGTCATTGTTACAAAAACCTTGAAATATACATTTTAGACCCCACAAAGTATATATATATATATTCTTCATCAGCATAAAATTCTATATCGATATAACGATGACCGTCTGTCCGGTCCGTCTGTGGAAATCACTCTAGCTTCCGAAAGAAATAAAGTAGGTTGATAAAATTTTACTCAAATGTGTATTATGTGTGCAGGACTTTTGGTATTGAAAATGGGTCATGTAGGTCCAGGTTTTTGTATAGCCCTCATACAATGCTACCTCCCTTTTTTCGGTATTTCGGTGATTTAAGCGATATTCTTCACCGCAAATGTTTCAAATTTGGCATTTGAAGTTCGTAATGGGTGCTACAGCCTGTGACGGAAAATTGTGCGTGCAGGTCCAAGTCTTCGTATAGCCCCCAAATGACGGTCCCGCCCTATATCCGGTGTTTTAATGATTTTAGTGACATTATTCACCAAAATTGTTTCAAATTTCGCATTTGAAGTTCCCAAATGTGTACTACAGTCTATGACATAAAATTGCATATGCAGTTCCAAGACATCGGTACATCCCTATATACGGTATATTTATGATTTTAGCGACAGATCCGGTGAATCTGTTTCAAATTTCGTATTTAAAATTGGTAATAGGTACTACAGCACATGGTACAATGATATCAAGGTAGGGCTATGATACCATATGATTTCAATTTTTTCATTTTCTTGGCTTAATATGTCATCTTTATTTGTTTATGTATGCGTTTTCTTTTCAATAATAAAAGAATTGTTCAGAAAACATTCAAATTCGGATGTTTTCAAAATGTTTATTTCATCGTATGCATCGACAAAATCTAGAGTTTTTGTAGCGAAATAATCTTTAATAGAAATATAGAACCTGGTTTTGAAAAGAAGTGTTGACCTTTCATTCAGTTTTCGTGGTTTTCAATTATTTATTCAAAATAAATGCAACAAGTTGTATGATTTTTTTATTGTTTTGATACTAATTCTGACATTACAAGCCAAACAGGTAGACCTCTATACTTGCAATTTTTTCAAACTTGGCCTACCTTCTCTTCATTGTACCATGCTACAGCCTGTGACAGAAAATTGCTTATGTGGGTCCACGTCTTCGTATGGACCACAAAATAACGGTAACTCCTTATATTCGATATTTTTCAGATTTTAACGGATTATATTTTTTATTTTTATTTCTTTTTTTTTTGAAATTTTCAAATTCATTCCAAATAGTGGAGGATATAATTCGTTACTTGTTTAAACATATTTTTGAAGAGACGAAAAAATGGATTTTTTAAAAATATTTTTGGAAGGTGTTTAATGTAAACCAGTAAAGAAAGTCTTAAAGTCGGGCGGGGCCGACTTTATGATACCCTACACCACTTTGCAAATTTAGTAGAGCTGCGCATAACAATGAAAAGTTTTTATGGGAGAATTCAATCATACACGCTATGATTATAATTATAATTTAAGGTTCAAAGAACTAAATATGCCGAAGCATTTGTATCTTTTAAATTCGGATTTATATTGACCCTTTGGTGCACAATTAATTTGAAATCGGATAAAAATATATATGGGAGCTATATCCAAATCGGAACCGATCTCGATAAAATTTGGCAAAGATATTTCTGAGCTGTATTTAATATATTTCCCTGAATATCGTTGTTACGGAGTGGATATTACGACTGTGGGTAACAAATACGACAAATCGGATGAACAGTTTCTATGGGAGCTATAGTTATATCTGAACCGATCTTCACCAAATTTGACATACTAGCTTCTAGACTCAATTCGGTCGTAAGTGCCAAATTCCATTCCATTTGGGCAAATATTAGACGTTTGGTGCACAATTCAAGGTAAATCGGACGAAGTTATATATGGGAGCTATATCCAAATCTGAACCGATCTCGATTAAATTTAGCAAATGTATTTCTGAGCTGTATTTGATATATTTCCCCAAATATTGTTGTTACAGAGTGCATATTACGGCTGCGGAGGACAATCTGATTGTACGTGCAAAATTCCATACTATTCGGACTGATATTACAGGTTTGGTGCACAATAAAAAGCAAATCGGACGAAGATATATATGGGAGCTATATCTAAATTATGACCCATTATCTCCAATTTCAACATGGTTCGTCCTTGGGCCAACCAAATGATTTGTGGGGCAATAAATGCGAACTGTACTTTGTTTACAAAAATACATGGACAGGCGGACAGACGGACGGACGGACATGCATAAATCGACTCAGAATGTGATTCTATGCAGATCATCAAAAGGAATAGATCGACCCATAGATCTTGTTTCCTTTTGCCTGTTACAAACAAATGCACAAAGACATAATACCCTGACCACCTTGTGGTGTAGGGTATAAAAACGTAGAGTTTTTAAATTATGAGGACTATTAGAGACGAAAATGTTGATGATTTAAAAATATTTTTGGAGGGAGTTTAAGAGAGATTATTAGATGTGGAGACGTGGATTTCTAAAATATGTTTTTAAGAACTATTAAAAATTATGATTTTTTAAATATTTTTCGGAAGGGACTTTAAAGACTCAAACGTGGATTTTTTACAAATATTTTTGGAATGTCTGTTACAGACTATAATGTGAACTTTTTAAAAATATTTTTTAGTAATTTTTAAAAAATATTTTGGGAGGAAATGAATTTTCAAAAAATAAGAGAGGCTATTACAGACGAATTTAAAAAAAAATTGATGAGACTATGAAGACGAGGATATTTTGAAAAACAAAACGCTCAAAGAAAGCGAAATAATATATATGCTAACCCCTTCTGGGACCTCGCCCAATAAGGGTAACAATTTTCAATGCGAAACAATTCAGCGATTTTTTACAACTTGATATATCTAAATATTTCTCTCAACCAGAAACCTGAGATAAATATGGAATTCATGATTTCCCATAAATTGGATATAAACGTTCGATTTTCTTGTAATTTTGCCCAAGCTACCAAATTACCGCACATTTATATCGTATTTATTTAGGTCCGATACGAAATAGACAATATTGGCCCATTCCCTCAGAACCCACTCCTTAGAGGGTCAACAGTTTGACTAATCATAGCAGAAGTCAAAATATAGGGTATTCGTCAGTCGGCAGAACCGATTGATACTTTTTAACCTGTTAAAATGTAATTTTTGAGATAAGAAGAAGTACATTGAGTGAATTATTCAGGTTCGAATTCTCCTGCCAAACAGCACAAATATATAAATAATGACCCCCGCAACTTAGCTATAAAGGAATTTGGGCTGCATATTGTTAGTTTTTATTAAATATATGTCTCCAAATAATGACAAATATCCATTTCCGTCAGACAGTTATGCCAGTGAAAAATGACCGCAAATAATAAGCGTAACGTATTTGGACAAGGTTGCTTTTAAGAAAAATTTAATATACCCTTATTTCTAAGGTGGAGGAAGGTATAAAAATATTCATAATTTTGGGGATTGTCCGTTGTTTTCAAAATACTTCCATCAGTATCCATTTCCATAAATAGAATTGCATTTTTTATGAATCGTGTGATTTATTTAATAAGATATGTCTGTCGGCAGTGGGGGGTAGGGGGGGGGGGGGGTGATAAAGAAATAGAAAATTTATTCCATTCATATACTTTCGTACATTTAAATAACTCAATTTTGAATAACTTCAAGTTCAACATGAATGGGCTAGGCATTGCTTGCCACAAACACTTGCCCAGGGGGAGATTCCATTGTTTTCGGTTGATGGAGTTAATAATTTCAGTTTTACTTATGAAAACTATTTTTGGAGCGGGTCGATTTTTCATTGTAATGTTTGCCCTAACTAGCCGACGCGAATACCCCGTCTATGTAAATGGAGGCAACACATTTTGGTTTTTTGGGAGTGCCTAAAAGTATGTGTCTGTTTAAGTTTTGGCCACAAAAAAGGGGGCAAATATCATCTGACGACGATGTGGGTAAAAAGAGTGGTGTCGGTGGTGGTGGTTAATTTTATTTACTATTTTGTACTTGTTTTTCATTGTTGTTGTGTTTTTTTTTTTTTTTTTTTTTGTGGGAATACCGTGGAGAAAGACGCACCTCCTTACGTGTATTCCCCAACAAACAATTAGGGTATATATGAAGGGCTCACAGCTATACCG